TGTTTATACAGTAGTTTTGCAACGAACCGCTTCAAGCGTAAAGTCTGAGTTAAACCGGATCGATCTCGATTCTTCACACCAGACGCGCTCATGAATCGGACGGCTTTATTTCTCTCACAGTGGATATCAAGAGTCTTCAATCTCAGTTCTGTTTTAAAGATCTACATAAAGGTGAGTACAGTTCTACAGCTCCTCATTAATTCGCTGTTTGAATGCATGATTCATGTAAATGCAAATATCTGTATTGTTTACATTCTTAATAGCTGGACTGAATCCCTCAGTGCTGCTCCTCTGCCTCTCTCACACACACACACACACACACACCTCTACTTTCTCGACTGATGACCTTCTCCGGATCGTGTCCACTAAACTAACACTGGGATGGGGGAATATTGCAGTAGTTCACGACTATAAATCTCCCTGCTTTCTTTTTTCTGTTCCTCGAACTGCCTTCAGTCAACATTCTGCATACTTTTCACAGGACACCGTGAAGGACGGCAACGGTCAGGCTTCAGAAGCTCGAGGCCACACTGCTCTGGGGTCGCTGAACCATCAGAGCGCTCGACACCCGCTGCTGGTCTTCATTGGGTTCATGCATATTCTGTATGACTTCAATCAGGCCTAACGTATCTAATGCAGCTCAGCTCCTAGTCCAGGGACTCTTCTGCTTTACTAGCCTGACCATCAAGCCTTCACAGATGACCCAGGCCTTCATGGATGACCCAGGCCTTCACAGGTGACCCAGGCCTTCACAGATGACCCAGGCCTTCACAGATGACCCAGATCTTCACAGATGACCTTTACAGATGACCCAGATCTTCACAGATGACCCAGGCCTTCACAGATGACCTTCACAGATGACCCAGATCTTCACAGATGACCCAGGCCTTCACAGATGACTCAGGCCTTCACAGATGACTCAGGCCTTCACAGATGACCCAGATCTTCACAGATGACCTTCACAGATGACCCAGATCCCTCACAGATGACCCAGGCCTTCACAGATGACCCAGATCTTCACAGATGACCTTTACAGATGACCCAGATCTTCACAGATGACCCAGGCCTTCACAGATGACCCAGGCCTTCACAGATGACCCAGATCTTCACAGATGACTCAGGCCTTCACAGATGACTCAGGCCTTCACAGATGACCCAGATCTTCACAGATGACCTTCACAGATGACCCAGATCCCTCACAGATGACCCAGGCCTTCACAGATGACCCAGATCTTCACAGATGACCCAGGCCTTCACAGATTACCCAGGCCTTCACAGATGACCCAGATTTTCACAGATGACCCAGGCCTTCACAGATGACCCAGGCCTTCACAGGTGACCCAGGCCTTCACAGATGACCCAGGCCTTCACAGATGACCCAGATCTTCACAGATGACCTTTACAGATGACCCAGATCTTCACAGATGACCCAGGCCTTCACAGATGACCTTCACAGATGACCCAGATCTTCACAGATGACCCAGGCCTTCACAGATGACTCAGGCCTTCACAGATGACTCAGGCCTTCACAGATGACCCAGATCTTCACAGATGACCTTCACAGATGACCCAGATCCCTCACAGATGACCCAGGCCTTCACAGATGACCCAGATCTTCACAGATGACCCAGGCCTTCACAGATGACCCAGGCCTTCACAGATGACCCAGGCCTTCACAGATGACCCAGGCCTTCACAGGTGACCCAGGCCTTCACAGATGACCCAGGCCTTCACAGATGACCCAGATCTTCACAGATGACCTTTACAGATGACCCAGATCTTCATAGATGACCCAGGCCTTCACAGATGACCCAGGCCTTCACAGATGACCTTCACAGATGACCTTCACAGATGACCCAGGCCTTCACAGATGACCCAGGCCTTCACAGATGACTCAGGCCTTCACAGATGACTCAGGCCTTCACAGATGACCCAGATCTTCACAGATGACCCAGGCCTTCACAGATGACCTTCACAGATGACCCAGATCTTCACAGATGACCCAGGCCTTCACAGATGACCCAGGCCTTCACAGATGACCCAGATCTTCACAGATGACCCAGGCCTTCACAGATGACCCAGGCCTTCACAGATGACCCAGATTTTCACAGATGACTCAGGCCTTCACAGATGACTCAGGCCTTCACAGATGACCCAGATGACCCAGATCTTCACAGATGACCTTCACAGATGACCCAGATCTTCACAGATGACCCAGGCCTTCACAGATGACCCAGATCTTCACAGATGACCCAGGCCTTCACAGATGACCCAGGCCTTCACAGATAACCCAGGCCTTCACAGATGACCCAGATTTTCACAGATGACCCAGATCTTCACAGATGACCCAGATCTTCACAGATGACCCAGATCTTCACAGATGACCTTCACAGATGACCCAGATCTTCACAGATGACCCAGGCCTTCACAGATGACCCAGATCTTCACAGATGACCCAGGCCTTCACAGATGACCCAGATTTTCACAGATGACCCAGATCTTCACAGATGACCCAGATCTTCACAGATGACCCAGATCTTCACAGATGACCCAGATCTTCACAGATGACCTTCACAGATGACCCAGACCTTCACAGATGACCCAGATCTTCACAGATGACCCAGGCCTTCACAGATGACCCAGGCCTTCACAGATGACCCAGATTTTCACAGATGACCCAGATCTTCACAGATGACCCAGATCTTCACAGATGACCCAGATCTTCACAGATGACCTTTACAGATGACTCAGGCCTTCACAGATGACCCAGATCTTCACAGATGACCCAGACCTTCACAGATGACCCAGATCTTCACAGATAACCCAGATCTTCACAGATGACCCAGATCTTCACAGATGACCCAGATCTTCACAGATGACCCAGACCTTCACAGATGACCCAGGCCTTCACAGATGACCCAGACCTTCACAGATGACCCAGATCTTCACAGATGACCCAGATCTTCACAGATGACCCAGATCTTCACAGATGACCTTCACAGATGACCCAGGCCTTCACAGATGACACAGACCTTCACAGATGATCCAGACTTACACAGATGACCCAGATCTTCACAGATGACCCAGATCTTCACAGATGACCCAGATCTTCACAGATGACCTTTACAGATGACCCAGACCTTCATAGATGACCCAGGCCTTCACAGATGACCCAGACCTTCACAGATGACCCAGATCTTCACAGATGATCCAGACTTACACAGATGACCCAGATCTTCACAGATGACCCAGGCCTTCACAGATGACCCAGGCCTTCACAGATGACCCAGATCTTCATAGATGACCCAGATCTTCATAGATGACCCAGATCTTCACAGATGACCCAGGCCTTCACAGATGACCCAGACCTTCACAGATGACCCATACCTTCACAGATGACCCAGGCCTTCACAGATGACCCAGACCTTCACAGATGACCCAGACCTTCACAGATGACCCAGACCTTCACAGATGACCCATACCTTCACAGATGACACAGACCTTCACAAATGACCCAGACCTTCACAGATGACCCAGACCTTCACAGATGATCCAGACTTACACAGAAAACCCAGAACTTCACAGATGACCTTCACAGATAACCCAGATCTTCACAGATAACCCAGATCTTCACAGATAACCCAGATCTCCACAGATGACCTATATCTTCACAGATAACCTTCACAGATGACCCAGGCCTTCACAGATGACCCAGATCTTCACAGATGACCCAGATCTTCACAGATGACCCAGGCCTTCACAGATGACCCAGATCTTCACAAATGACCCAGATATTCACAGATGACCCAGATCTTTACAGATGACCCAGATCTTCACAGATGACCCAGATCTTTACAGATGACCTTCACAGATGACCCAGATCTTTACAGATGACCCAGATCTTCCCAGATGACCCAGATCTTTACAGATGACCCAGATTTTTACAGATGACTCAGACCTTCACAGATGACCCAGATCTTCACAGATTACCCAGATCTTTACAGATGACCTTCACAGATGACCCAGATCTTTACAGATGACCCAGATCTTTACAGATGACCCAGATCTTTGCAGATGACCCAGATCTTTACAGATGACTCAGACCTTCACAGATGACCCAGATCTTCACAGATGACCCAGATTTGTACAGATGACCTTCACAGATGACCCAGATCTTTACAGATGACCCAGATCTTTACAAATGACCCAGACCTTCACAGATGACCCAGATCTTTACAGATGACCCAGATCTTTACAGATGACCCAGATCTTTACAGATGACCCAGATCTTGACAGATGACTCAGACCTTCACAGATGACCCAGATCTTCACAGATGACCCAGATTTGTACAGATGACCTTCACAGATGACCCAGATCATTACAGATGACCTTCACAGATGACCCAGATCTTTACAGATGACCCAGATCTTTACAGATGACCCAGACCTTCACAGATGACCCAGATCTTCACAGATGACCCAGATCTTCACAGATGACCCAGATCTTCACAGATGACCCAGATCTTCACAGATGACCCAGATCTTCACAGATGACCCAGATCTTTACAGATGACCCAGATCTTTACAGATGACCCAGACCTTCACAGATGACCAGATCTTCACAGATGACCCAGATCTTCACAGATGACCCAGATCTTTACAGATGACCCAGATCTTCACAGATGACCCAGATCTTCACAGATGACCCAGATCTTTACAGATGACCCAGATCTTCACAGATGACCCAGATCTTTACAGATGACCCAGATCTTCACAGATGACCCAGATCTCTACAGATGACCCAGATCTTTACAGATGACCCAGATCTTTACAGATGACCCAGATCTTTACAGATGACCCAGATCTTCACAGATGACCCAGATCTTTACAGATGACCCAGATCTTTACAGATGACCCAGACCTTCACAGATGACCCAGATCTTCACAGATGACCCAGATCTTCACAGATGACCCAGATCTTTACAGATGACCCAGATCTTCACAGATGACCCAGATCTTCACAGATGACCCAGATCTTTACAGATGACCCAGATCTTCACAGATGACCCAGATCTTTACAGATGACCCAGATCTTTACAGATGACTCAGACCTTCACAGATGACCCAGACCTTCACAGATGACCCAGATCTTCACAGAGGACCCAGATTTGTACAGATGACCCAGATCTTTACAGATGACCCAGATCTTTACAGATGACCCAGATCTTTACAGATGACTCAGACCTTCACAGATGACCCAGATCTTCACAGATGACCCAGATCTTCACAGAGGACCCAGATTTGTACAGATGACCCAGATCTTTACAGATGACCCAGATCTTTACAGATGACTCAGACCTTCACAGATGACCCAGATCTTCACAGATGACCCAGATCTTTACAGAGGACCCAGATTTGTACAGATGACCCAGATCTTTACAGATGACCCAGATCTTTACAGATGACTCAGACCTTCACAGATGACCCAGACCTTCACAGATGACCCAGATCTTCACAGAGGACCCAGATTTGTACAGATGACCCAGATCTTTACAGATGACCCAGATCTTTACAGATGACTCAGACCTTCACAGATGACCCAGATCTTCACAGATGACCCAGATTTGTACAGATGACCTTCACATATGACCTTCACAGATGACCCAGACCTTCACTGAGAAATATATAAATATAAATCATATTAGCTATATCATATTTGATGATAGTGTTTGATTAATAAATGCATTATACCTTTCTCTTCATGCCTCACAGCCTCTCTAGTTTTGCCTTCATCTCTAAGTAGCTGCAGGCCTGTTTCGAATCACTTTCTTTCTAAGATATTAGAAAAAGTTGTTGCCTCCCAGTTACAGGCCCATTAACAGCACATAACCTCCATGAGCCTTTCCAGTCCGTTACTCAGTACTGAAACAGCGCTGGTTAAGGTTCTTAATGATCTCCTCCGAGCCCCTGATTCTGGCGTCTCAGCACTCTTCTTCTGTTAGACCTCAGCTCGGCTTTTGACCCGGTAAGTCATGAGATACTCCTGCCATGTACTCCTGCAGTTACTGGCACAGCCTTTGACTGGTTCTCCTCTTATTGGACAGGGAGGCAAAGATGTGTTGTTTACCAGAAGCACAAATCCCTCAGTTGTGGTGTACCTCAGGGCTCTGTCTTGGGCCCTCTTCTTTTCACAATTGGCCAAATTATGACAAACGCTATGGATTAAATTTCCACTGTTAAGCTGATGACATGATGCAGATTAATTTTAGCACTCCTCCCAGCTCAGATTTTCCTCAGCCTACAATAACAACTTGAGTCAAAGAACTCGAACCACCTTCAGTCTAACTGTGGTAAGACTGGCCTGCTCTAAATCTTTTGCTAAATTATCTGGTCAACTGATAGATTTGGATGGTGAGCTGATAAGGTCTGTGTTCCTCTTGATTCCACTCTTTCACGTAATGCTCACGCTGGTGAAGGTGTATATCTTTCCTCCACCTCGGATCTCGTATTCGCTCCTCTTAGTCAGCATGATGCTGTAACTGCTTCACATTTGCCAGGTCTTCAGTGTTATGTAATGCTCTTCCTCAAAACATCTGTCAGGCTTTCCTCCGTTCTTCCTTCCTAAAAACCCTCGTAAAGAATGAGTTTTCTCTGTATATCACTCTTCTGCCCTTGGTATGTGTTGTGCTTTGCTCTTGATGTTGATTTGGTTCTGTTTCCTGTAACCTATCTTTGTAAAGCGACCTTGGGCTATTGGAAAGATGCTAGCCTATATAAATAAAAATTATTATCGTCACATATTCATTATATTTTTATATTGATATATTTATATTCATTATAGGTATTGTCCCTTGAGAAAAAATACGTACTCTTTGATATCCTAATTAATCGGAATCGGAATTTAATCGATTATAAAAGATGCATGAGATGCTGTGGAAGCTTTCTTGACCTTGATTTAATGTATTCATCATTTACATATGAGGAACATCACAAGTAGTTTGTTAATAAATATTCATATATATATATGATGTTTTTAAAGTTAAGTGTGTGAACTTCTACAAATAAAATGTTCCTAGTTCATGACCTCTTGTGAATGTTTAAATGTTTGTTTTAGTCTTGAGGTTTAAAGGTCTTAATTTGATTCATTCAAGCATGCCTCTCTCCCTTCTCTCTCTCTCTCTCTCTCTCTCCTCTCTCTCTCTCTCTCTCTCTCTCTCTCTCTCTCTCTCTCTCTCTCTCTCTCTCTCTCTCTCTCTCTCTCTCTCTCTCTCTCTCTCTCTCTCTCTCTCTCTCTCTCTCTCTCTCTCTCTCTCTCACGCACGCACACATACACACACACACACTCTCTCTCTCTCTCTCTCTCTCTCTCTCTCTCTCTCTCTCACGCACGCACACATACACACACACACTCTCTCTCTCTCTCTCTCTCTCTCACACACACACACACACACACAGATATAAGCGAGCGCGCGGGGCTCGTTCGTCAGTGTGGCGCGGGTCGCGCGCAGACACGCTCGTGCTCTTCAGATCGACTCATGAGAATAAAATAAACGGCAAAGTCAGAGTTATTCGTGCAATAACGGAACAACAGAATACAGAGGAACGGCGTAAATGTATGTGATGGAATCTGCAGCAGTGAACTTTCAGTGAGTATTCAGCGAGTGTCTTTCTAGTGTGTGTGTGTGTGTGTGTGTGCGTGCGTGTCAGAGTTGAACTCGCGCACTTCAGTTTCTTCCTTTCCGTTCCTATAAATAACGTGTGTGTGTGTGTGTGTGTCGTATTCTCCTGTTCAAGCTGGAAACTCTGAAGTGAAAATACCCGTGTATAAATAACACGTGTGTGTGTGTGTATAAATAGCCTCTGATGCTCCGGATCTCCGCTGGTCTTCTGATTCACCGGTGAGGCGCGCGCACGCGAACAACTTCAGTTATTTCTATTCATTATTGTGATATTTGTTAAAAGAACAGGTAAGACTTATTTTACAGTGTCATGTTACATATGTTACATGTACTTACTATAGTAATAACAGTAAATTGTGCATAATTACATGCAACTAACCCTCAACCAAACCCTAATCCCTAACCTGACCCAAACATGTAGTTTATTAATATTACTCAGTACTTAAATATATAATTACACTGTAACAATCACATCTTAAAATGAAGTGTAAGCAAACAACATTACAGACAGTTATGATTGACTTTAATATTAGCTATTGTTATGATTGACTTTCAGCTGAATTACACACTCTCAATTGCAAACTCTCTGTGTGTCCTCAGGTGTGTGTGTGTGTGATGAGCTCATCATGGGTGAAGCCTTCACACACACGAAGCTCTGCGGGAAACATCTGCGTCTGCTGCTCTTCATCCTCCTGCCGTGTGTGTGTGGCCTGATCTGTGTGTGTGTGCTCCTGCTGACGCTCACAGGTAACACACACACACTCTCACTATGCACGCACACACACACGCACGCACACACACACACACACACACACACACACTCACTCACTCACTCACACACACACACACACACACTCTCACTATGCACGCACACACACACGCACGCACACACACACACACACACACACAC